AGTTGAGTGGGAGTCTTGTTTGTGAAAGTTTCTTCCATGTCTGTTATGAATGCTAGATTCAGTCCTATTGAGGCTGGAGGGCTGAGTCAAAGCCGGGTCAGGCGAGGTTCCTAAAGAGAAGAAGGCACATGAAACAGATCACAAAATGCAGGAATCTTATCTGGGATTCCCAGCATCAGGGTGACATCAGAGCGTGAGAGTTGGAGCTGCAGCCCCAGAGCTCGGGAGCTGCGTGTCTTCATTGGCCTTTCTGAGACACAGTGAGACAAAACAGCTGCATGTCTTGTGCAGCCATGTGGTGTGTGAGTGGCCGTCTGCATTGATTCATTATTGTTTGTAACAACGTCTGTCGTGCACCTGCGCTAAATGACAGAGCTGTGTCCTCAAGTGCCCTCTGATGTCCTCAGATGCCCAGGCTCCGATACAGCTCTCAGTGGCCTCCTATAAGCTCCTAACACTGTTTTGAGAGGAGAGAGTAACTACAGTGACATCGATTGAGAAGCGAACAGCATACAACACTGTGTTAGTAAGAACTTCTTTAAGATTCTTTCTATTAGATTATATTAGGAAAAGACAGAGAGAGAGAGAGAGAGAGAGAGCGAGAGAAAGAGAGAGAGAGAGAGAGGGAGAGAGAGAGTATTAAAGGCTATACAATTAAACCTTAATTATATTCAGATTATTCCTATAAAAACATTTTTGAGAAAAAGATAGAAGGAGGAAGAGCTGAAAGGAAAGAAAGTATGTGAGGGAACATAAAGAGGAGAAAGGAGAAGTGTAGGAATGGGAGGTAAGACGGATAAGCAGATTAGAACATAGAACCTCATAGAGTAAGAGTAGAAAAACTTATGTACATAATTACACCAAATGTGTATGTCTCAAAAGGCCAAACCTAATCAACAAAGCAAAGAAATAAAACTTCGAAAAGGAAGAGGACTCCATTCTGTTGGTTATCACGACTGCTCCAAAGTGGCTTCTCCATACCGTTGTCTTTTGTTGACGTTTCTCAGAAGCCTCTGGTGTTGTCAGGAGACACCAGGATGTTAGTGCCCTCCCTCCGGTGGGTGGCAGCCTCTGTGTCCTGAGTCACACAACTTCCTGGACTCTCCCTCTGCTCACTGAGCCTCTCTCTGGGCTACGCCATGAGTGTCCAGCGTCAGGAGGGGGCAGCCCTGCTTGTCCCATTCTGGTGTCTTTTCTCCACCGGAGTCCTCTCGCTGTGCTGTGTGTGCTGCTCTCTGAGTCTCTTTCCAGCCCACAGTTTTGGTGGTGTTCAGGAGCTGACCTGAGAGGGCCTTCAGAGCCGCTCCAGGGTCTTTGCTCAACTCTGGGTGTTCTTGGGTCCCAGCCAGCGCTAGACCCTGGGTCTCTCCCTACCTTGGCGTTCGCTCTGTGCCTGGTACCAGAAGATAATGGCTGGCTCAGACAAGATGGATGGTCCTCCGCCTCTCTCCCTCTCCGACGTTGCCCTCTCAGTGCCTCCCTGGCTTGCACCTTCTGCAATATCTCTGTCCGGAAAGGTGTTCCTGAGTGAACAGTGCGGTCTCCAGGATGCACGTCCCAGGGGGGAAGCCTTCAGCTCACGAGGGACAGGGAGCAATGGCAGGGGCCTGGGCACTGACTGGTACCTCATTTCCTCAGCCCCTTCCCCCAGAGGGTGCCTCCTTCAAGCCGGCACTGCAAGCCATGTCCTTGTTTCTTGTTCGCAGTTTGCTGACAGCACTCTGTCAAGCTGCATTCCCACGGCCGGTCCCTCGGCTTTTCTCGCAGCCCCCGTCGTGTTAATCTTTGTGAGTTACCCTTCAATGACCTTGAGAGTTGCTCTAGCCCACAAGGGCCATTTTCATGGTTCTCAGATGCACACGTTGTCACATTTAACAAATGACACAAAAGCAGTGTCTACCAAAGCACATTCACACATCGAACAATGCAAAAACATGAAAGTATTGTAAAGGTTTCAAGCGTGAGGCGATAGCCCTCTCAAGCAGGCTCAGAAACCGACCGTGTGTTCTGCAGGAATCGCACCTCTTCCAGGTGCCACACAGGGGAGAGGCTGAGCGATGAGCTGGAGGCTGCCCTGCTCCCCTCCCTGGGCACAGACAGACTGGCAAGTGTCACAGGAGGGGACGGAGATTCTGGCAGTGCAGGAGGATGCACCAGCCGCACTGGAAGTCACATTAACTCCTCAAAGTCTGGCAGATTCCTCACAATCGTTAGAGTGGAGCCTTTTGGCTGCTGTTTTAGCAGAGACAGTGACCTTGGGGTTGAGAAGTCCTGGGTCTTCCCACTTCTTCTAAGCAGGACAAATGTAACTGTAACTAAATGATAACAGCTTATTTCTCTATCATACAATCTACTTTCTGAACCATTCTGGGTGTGGTAAGATTAAAAAATGTTCCATGGAGTGAATGTGGAGTAAACATGGAGTGTTTTGGGGTGAATTTTAGAGTGTGTTCATTCTCATATTCACAGGCTTTATGCTTAAAAGGCCCCTTTGGGGGAAGATTTAGTTGAAAGAAGTACATTTTGCAGATATAGGGATTTGAGAATATTTGATGTATAACTGAGAACAGATGGCACACAATTTTATTGCTATATAAACTTAAAAGTGATCACTCGTGAAATGATCATCTGTGCAAGTGCAGACCTCTTCCAGAAATCTACCTCATTCAGCCATCAGTATTACGCATGATCCATCACATAACACACTAGTTTTCAACAGTAATAATAATCGTTAAAAAGACCCAGAGATCCTGAAGGAGCCAGTAAGTTTCAGATTTCACTTTTTGTTGTCGATGATGTATATAAAAGGAAGCTGTACTGATACCATGAAAGAACTGCGATCTTTTGAGGAAAGAGCACCACTAACACCAAAGGAGACCAAACCTAGAATGGTAGATTTTAAGAGGACAGGTTTAAGTGGAGAACTAGTGCTGAGCAGAGGTGCAGAAATATATAAAAAATTACAAAGACAATACAGCTGATAAGCCCTACCGATAAACAGAGGAATGGACACACACAAGAAAGACAGTAACCTACTTGTGATCGGTGAATGACCCAACAGTTTATCACGGCATTAAAATAATCTCAGTCTGATGATGTGTCACCTGTCACCTCGTCCCCAGGGCACTGGTAAGAAGAGAGACATACTGTTCTGTGTCCAATCGTGCCTGATTGGAAAGAGCTATTTTAGGCACAGCAGGCTATAAAATCCTGAGGGATACAGCAAACTTGGAAGCACTTCTTGAAGAAAAAAAAAAAAAAGACAAAACAATGCAAAAGACAACACAGTATTGTTGCTGGACAGTGGGGTCAAGCCTTGGGACACAGGGCTTCCAGAAGGGGCACCTTGGCAATGCCCAACAGAAGATGACTCTGACTTGACCACACCTGTCAGAGAGAGCTGGTGACACAGGAGTCTGTGGACAACCTCACTCGCAAGGGGCCCATGAGGCTGTCACTCTGGGGAAGTTCCAGAAGGTCCACAAGAGAATGTGGTGCAGGGTCCAAGAAAATCTGAACAGGCAAGTCTTCCGGCTCTCTTCCAGGTGCTTACTAATGGTGCAAACTATCAATTTACACATACTAATTTATTTTCCATCTATTCTACTGAGCTCCTTTTTTCCCCTATTTGCCAAATACAATCATCGTAACATCTGCAAAAATTGTATCATTATATTCTCACTATCTATTTCATACTTTCAGTTTCTTCTTCTTTACCAATTTCATCATACAGTATTCTCCAAAAAAGTTAAATGATTATTATTCTAGCAATCATTTTTATCCGATTTCTGACTGAAAGAAATGCTTTTCATGTTTGTTTGTTTGTTTGTTTGCATTGAGAGTGATTCTGGCATTACACAGAAAAACAGATTACCTGTTCATGTATTTATTTTTTATAAGGATAGAATGAACCTTTCACATGTCCAGAATGCTCGTGTTTTGGATACAGAGAATAATGCCATTTCTCTTTTTATTATTATATCTGAAATTTAATAATTGATGATCAAATCATGTAAATAACACAGCAGGAATAAAGAGTTGAATCATTCAGAGAGACAGCCAGTCTGGATGGTGCCCTCGACCTGCTAGGGAGAGCACCAGATACAGCTATGCTAACAGCTGAGATGTTCAGATGCACTGCCTTAACCAGGTAACTTGAGTACAAATGAAGGAAGCCCAACCCTGGTGGAAGTGAGCGCGAGCCGCTGATTTCAGGCAGAATTCAGGGCTGTCTCAGGGTTCCATAGCCTGGTGGGATCCAGGCAGTATCAAGGTTTGTGTTGTGTAATCACAGAATCCAGGCCACGGCAGGGAGGAAGGGAAAGGCACCTCAGCTCCATTTAAGGGTAAGGCGCAGAAGTTGTGGCCACTTTTCTGTTTGTCTTTGAAATAAAAAACTAGTTATTTGGTTGTTTGTGCAAGGAAATGGAGACTTAATGTGGGGAGAATTTTTTCTTACTGGAAAAAAAAAGGAAGAATGGACACTGGGAATTAATCAGCAGCCTTTATTGTCATAAACTGGCTTTATCTATTTGGGCTTTTGATATATTCCATGCTTCTTTCTTGAAGCAGCGATTTGTATGATAAACTGGATCACACATTGTTTTCAGATGCCTTAAAGTATGACTACAAATCCTAGTGTTTCCATTTCCAATTATTTAATATTTTCTTTGAAATGTGTTAAAGAGTTTTCATGGGAGGAAACACTGTGACGTTATACTTCGTAATCAGAATGTAGACCACAACACTCCTGGAAGGACTTTCACTGCTCAGATGTTTACAGCCAGTGCCCTATACCAAGCCTAACCTTGCGTTTGAGTTCTGACACAGTAAGCCTGACAGTGAAAAGATGACAAACTCAGTGCTTTTTCTCCGGGTCTCCACCCTGTGCAAGAAAAGGAAAGCAAAGCGGTGATAAGCGGTGATGTAAGACAATCCCGTGACTTCCTGCTCCACACCAATAAAAGCCCTGCTCCAGCCTCAGCCCCAACCTCGGCACCATGGCTCTGCCTCCTTCCTGGGCCTGGGTCCTGCTTGGTTGTGCATCTGCTTCTTTAGCAGGAGCTCTCAGTCTCTCGGATCTGTATCCTCCTCTGTGGCAGGAGAGCCCTGGTCAGTTCAGTGACTACAGGGTAGAGAACGGGAAATACGTTATTGACCCCTGGGTGTTCACTGACAGAATGGGGATGTACAAAGTCCTGCTGAATAGGACAGCCACATATTTTGCAAAATTTGGTCCAGAAAATGAACAAAACCTTTTATGGGGACTGCCTCTTCAGCATGGCTGGCAATATAGATCAGGTAAGCAAGACAGTTCTTTCCACGCTAATGATCTGTCAGGATAAGTGTGGCCTATCTGGCAAATGGGATTATGCACATCCCTACAGGTTTCAAAAAATGGTTCTTTCTCTTCTTCATTTTTCTCCTAAGAATCGTTATTCTTCTCCTTGTCCTCCCCTGGCTGGTGTATTTCTTTTTTTCTTTAAAAATTAATTTTATGGATACATTTAATGCATACAATATAATGACATTCATTGTTGGAAATTTGTGCCCTTACATGATGCCTCTTGGTTCTTATTTTTTCCCTATTCCCTGTCCTCCTTTCAGCCACGCGCTCCATCCCTCCCTCTCTGCCTGTCTACAAAGACTTTGTCTCCATTATTTTTCATTTTCTCATGTAAATTCCATTCCCTTCTTTCCTTTCTCCTACCCCTCCCATTTCCCCTTCCCCTCTGTCCCTTTTCTTCCTGTTTCACATTATTATACCTTTCAGTCTTTATTTACACTTTCAGTTTCTCTACACTAGAGTAACTATTCAGTCTTTACACATATGTATACTATTTATATCACTTAGGAGTATGGCCTCAGTGGGCATCCATTTAGCTATACATGTCTTTAATTTTTCATTTTTTATGGCTGAGTAGTATTCCATTTCACAATTGTTTTTTTTTCCTTTATCCAGTCTCCCATTGATGGACAATTGAGCTGCTTCCAAGTTTTAGCTATTACATATTGTGCTGCTATGAACATGGGTGCACATAAATCACTGTGGTATGATTCTTTTAATTCTTTGGGGAAGATACCCAGTAGGAGAAGAGCTGGGTCAAATGGGACTTCCAATCCCAGTTCTCTGAGGTATCTCCATACTGATTTCCACAGCGGTTGCACCAGTCTGCACTCCCTCCAGAAGTAGAGCAGGGTTCCTCTTTCCCCACAGTCCCGCCCGCATTTTTATTGGTTGACATCTTGATAGCAGTCATTCTTTCTGGGGTGAGGTGGAATCTAAGCGTTGTTTTCATCTGCATCTCTCAATAGACCAGTGATGCTGAAGATTTTTTCATACGTTTATTTGCCATTTCTACTTTTTTTTTTTTTGTTGTTGTTGTTGTTGTTGTACTGGGGATTGAACTCAGGACCTCGTGCTTTCAAAGCAGGCAGCAGAACCAACTGGGCTACATTCCTGGCCCTCTGCTTCTTTGTCTGAGAAATGTCTGTTCATTTCAGATGTCCATTTTTGGATGGGGTCTATAAATTTCAGAGATCTGATTTTTAAAGTTCTTTCTACATTCTAGATAGTAGACTTTTGTCTGAGGAACAGCTGGTGAAAAGTTTTTCCCACATTGTGGTTGTCTCTTCAAACTGTTGGTCATTTTTCTTGCCATGCAGAAGCTTTTTGGTAAGAAGACATCCCACTTGTTGATTGTGCTAGTGTACAGACAACTGGGGTTTTGTTCATAAAATCTTTTCCTGCACCAGTGCCTTCAAGAGTTCTACCTCACCTCTCTTCCAGCCAGTTTAGTGTTTCTGTTGTAATATTTAGATCTTTAATCCATTTTTATTTTAGTTCAGTGTATGGTGAGAGACATAGGTCTAGTGTCATGGCTCGTCTGTTTCTACTAGGAACTTCAGCAAGATGTAAGATGTGATGTCTAAGCACAAAAGGACGTATCTAAAGTATTATGTATTGAGTATTTTACAAGGATTTACTAAATTAGTAGGTGGGACATTTCTTTCTAATCACTGGCATGAACAGAGCAGTCAAAGGGGAGATGACATAAACAGAGTGTGATATCAAAGTCGTTTGATATTCTTGTCTTACTGATCATGCACAGAGTTACAAATGAGCAGTACCTTGTTCATGATGCCTTTCTTTTCAAGTTATCCTGTCCTCCTCAAAATAAAGCACCTTTCAGTGTGTATGCATACGGAGAGTGTATTTTGATATATACAATATGTATGGATGAAAGTAATTTTTCTCTGGCTCACAGAGGAAGCTGAAGACAGGGAGTGGTTTTCACAGCCCACTCACATTGAGCAGTCAATCAGAAAATTGTTGAGGATGAAAAAGTAAATATCAATTCATTTGTCAGGGGGAAAAGGTTATTTTCTAATGATTATGTAATACACTGTCATCAGGCGAAATCCTTGTGATGATTTTTCTCATTTCACACAACAACCCTATGATACAGCAATCATTATCGTTCTATTTTATAGACAAGAAAACCAAGGCATGAGTGGTTATGGTGTTTTGACAAGGTCAAGCTAGTGAATGATGGACCAGGATTTTGTTTGATTCCAGACCATGTCTTTTACTCCGAGTAGACGTTGCTTTCACAATTTTGAACAGGAGGTAGGGAGGTCAGTAAAAGTGTGAATACTTAACAAAAGCATAAATTCTAAGAACCATAACTCAAAACTCAAAATGAATGATTTGGGAATAGAAAAAAGTAATTCACACGTGACAGTTTGTACGTCTACCATAGCACATTGGCACAAATGGTGATCATAACCAGTTTCAAAGTGTGCAAAAATAAATACACGTGTGTATTTTTTGTCCTCCAGGGAGATTAGCAGATCCCAGCAGGCAGACGGACTGTGGCTATAAATCCAATGCTCTGTGTGTCTCTGTGAGCAGCTGGTCGGCTGGTAGGTCCAATTACAGATGCGATTCGAGGCTGTATCTCCCCGAAGGAAGGCATTGCACTGAAAAACCTCATGAGTGCAGACGAAGCAAAAGCAACTCTGCTTTTTAAAATGAACTACTGTGTACCTAATGGACTTAATCTCATGTTTTAGGCTTTACCAGCACAATAGCTGTGATTATTTTGGGGGAGCGTATCAATTTTTTTTTAACAGAAGGAATGAAATGAAATAAATAGCTGTAAAGGGCCAGGCCTCAGAGGGAGCAGTACTTACAGTTAGATGGCAGGTCCCACGTGTGACAGGGAGTCTTTGGAGTGAGGGAGGTTGAGGAATGAGAGACCAAGAAAATAATAGCTTTTCATTTTGTCCAGATGAGTTAAATATTGAAACTTATAGGCACATCAGAGAGCAATGTCTCCTACACTTCATTTTATCAGTCAGCAACCCAAGGCTTCGGCCATAAACAACCCCGAAATAACAAGAAGATATTTTGTAATTCTTTAATTTTTGTTTTGATAAAGAAACTGATTGATACAATTTCTTAGTGATATTTCTCCATAATTAGAAGCAAGATCCCATCAAATTTCCCTTTCTCAGAGCGATATCTTGTCATCACACTGTCCCAGGTGTTCTTTTTAGAAGCTCACACATACACACGCCCACAGATCTGGAATTTGAATAGTTGAGAGCGTAAGCCTGCTGCTTGGAGGCAAGGGTGCACACTCACAAGTGTGTGTTTATGGCGAGAAATATTTTAAAAGGTCTAATCGGTCACAGTAGGCATTTTGTAGTAGAAATTTTAGAGGTGTACTTGCTTGTCAGTGTAATTATGGAGCTAGTGATTGTATTGTCAAAAATTTAAAAAAAAGTTTTGCGTTAGGGAGATAGGCTAAAGCAAGACTGAAGTGATGTCATGTTCACAAATTAAACTTCTGTCAATGAAATAGAAAATATCTATTTACCAAAGCTACAGTTATGTTAGAATATTTTAGGGCAAAAAAGAAAAACAATTGACAATACAACTTCAGGGAGATGTTTTGTATTATTCTGTGGACAATTTGGTGGTGTTTTTCTTCCTTTTTTACTAACTGCTTTGATAAATAAATATTGCCAAATCATTTTTGTTTTAAAATTTTGTTTTAAAATATTGTTGTCAATTACTTTAACCCACGTATACTTATGATGACAGGGTTAATAGCAGATCACTTTAAAATTATCTGTAGGGTCCAGAGGGGATTTTGGTTCTTGTCTTAGTGCCTAACTTTCATCACATGTTTCTGGATCTGTGAACTTTTATGAAATAAATTATGCTTTCCACCACTGGCGTTTGTCACTGCTGTGGTAATAACCAGCCTTCTATTCTTACAGATTTCAATTATTTCCTGAGTGTACTACCTTTCCTTGCTGCCCTGGATTCTGGCGTAATGGGGACATCACCAGACAAAGTCACGCTTCTGCCTCCACCCAAGGACCAGATGCGGTTTTGCTACAATGTTTCTGACTGTCTTGCCTCCTTCCCTGATTTAATGAACCAGTGGAGAATCTTTTATGAGGTTCTGTGTTTAAGTAATGCATTTTATACTCTTAAGACACGGCAGCACTTCCTTCTATTTGATGACAGGGTTAATAGCAGATCACTTTAAAATTATCTGTAGGGTCCAGAGGGGATTTTGGTTCTTGTCTTAGTGCCTAACTTTCATCACATGTTTCTGGATCTGTGAACTTTTATGAAATAAATTATGCTTTCCACCACTGGCGTTTGTCACTGCTGTGGTAATAACCAGCCTTCTATTCTTACAGATTTCAATTATTTCCTGAGTGTACTACCTTTCCTTGCTGCCCTGGATTCTGGCGTAATGGGGACATCACCAGACAAAGTCACGCTTCTGCCTCCACCCAAGGACCAGATGCGGTTTTGCTACAATGTTTCTGACTGTCTTGCCTCCTTCCCTGATTTAATGAACCAGTGGAGAATCTTTTATGAGGTTCTGTGTTTAAGTAATGCATTTTATACTCTTAAGACACGGCAGCACAATTCCTTCTATTCTGTGACATTTTCTGTCTAGGATTATTTTTTTTTTTTGGCATTGCATCACATTGTCCTTAATTGTCACACTTGATGCATTACTAATAGTGTTGGAACACCCACTGTTCCACAGAAACATGAACACAAAGTTTATCCATTCCTGTCATTGCAAATAATAAACCAGAAATAATGTGCATACAGGCTAATTTGCCATAGGATGGATAGGCTAGTGTGGTGAACTGGAACCTCAGGTGGATTGTGAATTCTTAGCCATGTGATTATCAAACTGGCCTCCGAACTACCAACTTATTTCAACTCTATTAATAAATGATCATATGTAGGTAGCACTAAACAATTATATGCTGTTCTGAACTAAATAGTCAATAACCAAAATAAGATATAGTGTTCAAACACAGACATGGAGAGCCAGGCAGAGTGGCTGTAGAGTCCTTCTACTTGGGAGGCTGAGGCAGGAGAGTTGCTATGGGTTCAAGCCTGCCTGAGCTACATAGTAAGTTCAAGCCCAGCCAGATCTTGTTTTAAAAAATCAAAATCAAAATAAAATAAATAGATGTGTAATAAAGTCAATGGTAAAAGATATTTATTAGTCTTTTTATTTCATTATTTTAGATACTGTTAAATTTAACACTGGCACACATTTCTGTGTCCTTACTCTTACTCTTCTATGATGATTTCAGTAATATTTATGGAAAAATGATAAGAAAGACATACAATGGATTACTATTCTGCCATAAAGAAAGATAAACTTTCAGTCATTTAAACGGATGCACCTTGAGGCCATAATGCTAAGTGAAATAAATCAGACACATGAGCTCAAACTTCACATTCTTATATGACAAACTCAAAGTATAAATAAAGAACAAAATAAAAGATAGGTGATAGGAAGTCGGGAGAGGTCTCTCAAAAGGCAAGGGGATCAAGAGATGGAGGGAGGGGAGAGTTATGAAAAAAGGAATTAAGATGTGTGGTGTCCATGTACAAACTCTGCACAAGGGATACAAACATTACATCCTGCAAACATGGACTGATTAAAACAAAAAAGAATCCTGGCCAGTGTACTACAGGGAATCTTTGAGGAAACTTGTCGTTTACTTCTTCCAGATGTGTGTGTTTAAAAATACTGCATGTTCTTGCCCTTAACAAAGTATTACACTGTGGGATTTTACATGTATTACTTCTTAGAAGCAATGTTCTCCTTGTAATTAGAATAGTTTTCAATTATATATTCTACAGGGTTTAATATCAGGAAGAGAACTCCTTAGAATTTCTCGAACAATAGCTCTCTCCTGTTTACTTCAGTCCATGCAGTTACCATTCATTGACTTTGAGGAGCTCCTGAAGTCCTTCTGGATGGCACATACCACTTCCTTGAAGACTTTTGACTCTGCTTTTGAAGACAGGTAAGAATGGATCCCAAGTCACCTCTTGTTCATTGCTAAATGATTTTTGCTTTATGTATATCTTTTTCTGCTTCATTTACAGTGTTTGAATATTTTAAGAATAAAAATTAATCTAAGATAAGAGGTTTAGGGTTTAGCTCAGTGTTTCTGCCACCTGCCTTGCAAACTCAAGGGCCCAAGTTCAATCCCCGGTACCCCCTCAAAAAAAGTCTAAGTAGATATTTTAGTGCGATCTACCTCGCAAAGTATTTGTGGAGCAACACCTGAAAGAAGTGGATCGCACAAAAAGAAACATGCAGTGAGTGTTTTTCTAATTGTAAAACACAAAATATAATATAAATTAGCCTGTGGGTGATTTTTATTATTTTGATTGTAGAAATACAATGCAACCATATTATACTTGAGAAAATGTCAGTTAGCATCAGGGACAGAGGAGAAGACAGCCTGGAGGTCACCCACATCCCGTGACACCTAGCAGTGAAGAAGGAACAACGAGCTGGGTTCACAGCGAGTCAGACCCGCAGCTGAGGTGTTCAACAGGGTGCTTTCTGTACCGTCAGAAACCCAGGTTATAAGTAAGGGGAAAACTAACGGATAGAGGATAGCAAGTGGGGAGAAATGGAGGGCGGAGATGGGCGGGGAAGGGGATGCAAAAGGAGCGAAGATGGGTTACGTCCGTGCACCGACTCTCCAGAAGGAATGTGGCATTATGCACTGCAAATACAGCCAATAGAAAAAGCTTTACAAAATCTTGCACCTAGGTGGTGGCAGAAAAGCATTCAAATTCCACAACTCCCCAGCCATGCTTTTGCCCGTTTGCTGTGCTCCCGGTAAAGCGTGGGGCCCGACTTCCGAAGATCAGTTCTACTAAAGGTTTTCTCTATTTCTTAGCAGTTGTATTGAAAAGGAAAATAGGCTTGAACTTTTGCAGGGCATAAAGAAACACAAGTAAATGGAGCAGAAATAAGTTTCACTGCCTTTTCTGAGGGATCTTTCACACCTGAGGCAAGAAAAGCTGCAGCTGCCAACTGGTACCTGAACAGCTGCTCTGTTGCACCTCCTCCTCCTGGGACCTGCTAGGTTAGGACAGGTCCACCAGGCGGGTCTCCCCTGCCCCTGGAGATGGCCTGAGGTCTCCCGCGGCAGGGGGCAGGGGCCCCACAGTGCTTACAAAGGGCCTGCAGGTCCTGCTCTGGCTGCAACTGGACCTCTACCGAGCTTTTACTTTCTGTGTTGCTTTGTTTAATTTTTATTGCGTTCACGTGGTATTTCTCATTTTTATTTTTATATGTTTGTTTGTACATTATATACTTTCTTACATGCTAATGTTTAAACACGTCAAGTGATTTTTGACATCCTGCTTCCTCTTAGAAAATACTAAGCGACAACTGAGGGCCGACAGACTGCCATTATTACCATTTGTTTCTGATTATTTGTGTATTTGTGATGACAGTTCTAAAACACGTGTCTGTCACCGCTCCATTTTCAGTTTCTGGTGTAATCCTTTGAGCTGTCACCATGGCCAACATAGAACAGTTCCGTAGTGTTGGCTGTAAGATATTCAGAGCTTAGTTTCTTTGGGCCATAATTCCCACTCCATCTGTGGCTGAAACTAAGCTATTTAGTTTTCCACATCATTTCATTCACCTCTTCCTTCTTCTGATCATTGTCGTGGTTTCTTAGAATTCCATGTGTACATCATTACTTCTTAAGCTACTTAAAGAATTCTAAGCTCTCTCAAGAATTCTATCCACACCCTCTTCTGAAATCGGTCGAATTCACCCCTGTTGACCTGTATCCATCTCCAGGTGCCATATGTGATCCTTCACTAACGTCATGGGGGACTTCCTCTACTTTCCTTTTTGTGTTGTATCACCCTTTTCCATATTCTGTCTTTGTTTTCTTGGTGTACTTTTGATAGGGGCACAGCCTCTAGTACCTTCTGATCAGGTACATGCGAGGTAAAATTGTTTGAGATACTATATATAAAATAATCTTTATTCTATCGTTATTCTACCATTATTCTTGAACACAGGAATCTAAGCTGGTAACTTAGAGTTTTGAAGTCATTTCTGCATTTTGTTTTCTTTTGCTATGGAGAAGTCTGAAACTGCACTGATTGCTAACCTTTGGTGTATAACCTATCGCTCTCATTCTTTCCTTTTTGTTTGTTCCATTTGCCTGTTTGTACTGCTGTCCACATTAGCAGCCTTCCTCGGGGATCCAGCTACCTCAGTTTCATTCTTAAAGAGCAGCGTTAGGAGCTGCCTCTGACTGCCGGAGTGGAATTTTTCTTCTGAGAACGTGGCTCCAGGGTAATCTCGCTCTGTTGTTTATGCAATCCATTAACTACTGATATCACGGTGCCAGTAACTTTATCTTTTCTCTTGAGCTCCCACAGTTCTTCAGATGACTTTCAGTTCACCTATTTCAAATGAAAACCAAGTTGTTAATGTTCCAGCCCAAGTCAGGGATGCTAGGAGGAAAGGGAAACACGTGCTGCAATGGTGGATTTTCTGGGACAGGTTGTGGTTCAGGTACACAGTGCCAGGTCCACCAGGTGCCATAAGAGCCATCCTGCGGAGGCTGCGGAAGTTACTATCCCCCTCATCCTGCGTCTGGATACACTGAGGTTGAGATAGGGAGGGGTATGCACCCCAGGGCACACAGCAGTTCAAAGAGGTGACGTCAGGACTAGGACCTCTGGGCAAAGGACCGGATGTGCACAGTAGGTCATTAGACATGGTAGGCAAGCGAGTGACCTGGAGAGAAACAGCTGTGTTTTCCGCTGACAGCCATTGCTAATCATGCCTGACCTCAGTGAAAGGTGGTCGTATAAAGGCCAAAAACTGGATGGTGGTCATGAATTTTGAAGCACCAAGTAGTGGAGCTCCCTCTAGCCAGCTTGGTTCTTGGAGCCTCTTGGCCAGGACTGATGCTGGGGCTAGAGCCCTGTGCCTCTGAAGAGGTTGGAGAAAGAAACCAGCAGTTCCTGGGTCAGCGTGTCCTACCTCCTCTGCCTTTCTCCCTTGCCCGGGTTTACTGGGCCGAGGGAGGACACAAGAAGGAGAAGGCCAGGGTTATTTCTTGTTTCTGGACAGTGGGCTCTTTTCCAGCAGCAGAGGAGTTTCGAACAGCTTTTCTTCAGGCTGAGAGATTAGGAGGAGCTCTTTGTTCTCAAAGTCCCACAAGGCTGCCATGTTGGTTAGGATGGGAAAGAGGGTGTGGACTCCAGCTTCATAATGCGTGTTGTGCCAAAAGTAGACTGCCGGAGCCAGAAAGAAGATGAAGTGCATGATGAAGAGCTCCTATTTCCAGCTGTAGGACATGTGATCTTTCTGATTTTCTGTGTGCTCTCTGGTCGAGTGCCAGAGAATACAGGCGAGGAAGCACATGACTGAGGGAGGCAGAGATGAACTAAGTGAAAATATTTTCCTCAAGCCTTGCTAGCATTAGTTATTTGAGTTCTTGGTGACAGCCTTATTTGCTGTGGTAAGATCAAATCTCGGTGTTGTTTACATGTGCATTTCCCTGATGGTCAAAGAAGCTGAACATTTTTTCATGTACTTGTTGGCAAACTGTACCTCTTCTTTTGATAAATATCTATGCATTTCATTTGCCTAATTTTATTGATTTAAAAAAATTGGATGGGTCTAAAATTTTTGAATTCTTTATACATTCTAGATATTAGTCTCTATTCAAGGAGTGGCTGGAAAAATTATTTTTCTGATTCTGTAGGTTTTATTCTTCACTCAGTTCATTTTTCTTTGGCTCTGCAGAAGCTTTTTAATTTGATCCAGTTCCATTTGGTATTGTGTGTTTGCGTGGGCGCGCGCATGTGTGTGTGTAACTGAGGTTCTGCTCGGAGTGTCCTTATTTATGCCTACCTCTTCAAAGGTTTTGCCCACTTTATCTTTCAGCAGATTTAATGTTTCTGTTTTTATACACTAGTCTTTCATTCAATTTTATTTGATCTCAGTGCAGGAGAGAGATATGAGTCTTGGTTCATTGTTCTGCAGCTGGATAAACTTTTTTTCCAGTATATAAAAGGCTATCTTTCTTCTAGCACATAGTTTTGACCTCTTTGCCAAGAATGAGATGTGTCAAGATGCATGAAGTTGTCTCTGCATCCTAAATTCTGCTTCACTTGTCCACATGCACATTTCTGTCCCAATACCTTTCTGTTTTTATCCCTGTAGCTTTGTGATGTAACATGAAATTTGGAATTGCAATGCTGTCTGCTTTTATTCCCCCCTCAGGACTGCTTTGGTCATTCTTGGTCTTATCTGGTTCTATATAAATTTTAGGAGTTTTTTCTAGTTCTATGAAGATTTGCTGTGGTATTTTGACTGGAACTGCATTACATCTAATCTATCATTTTTGGTCATAAAATGTTGACGATATTGGTTCTGCTTATTCAGGAACAAGAGATGCCTTTCCATTTTCCAATATCTTCTTTGGTCTCTCTTTTAGAGTGCTATACTTTTCATTAACCAGTCTTTCATTTTCTTGGTTTAGTCAATCCCCAGGTATGGATTTTTTTTAAGGCTATGTGAATAGGATTATCTTCCCAGTTTCTTTCTTGGTGGTTTTATTGCTGGTGTATGGGAATGATATCAGTTCTTTTGTGAGTTAACTGTGTATCCCTGGTGAATTTGTTGATTAGTCCTAAGACTTATCTGGTGGAATTTTGGGGATCTTTTATGGACAGGATCACGTCATCTGCAAATGCAGATCATTTGATTTTGTGCCTTCCATTCATACCCCTTTTACTTGTTCTTCCTCTTGCCTGATTGCTCTGGCCAAGGTTTTGAGTGCTGCACTGAATAGTGTTGACAGTGGACATCCTTGTCTTGTTCTGATTTTGGAGGGAATCAATTTCAGGCTTTCCCTAGTTAGTGCAATGTAGGCATCAGATTTATAATAAATGGTTTTATCAGTGTGAGTTAATGCCCTTCTATACCTATTTTCATCAGGATTTTTATCATGAATGAATGTTGGATTTTGTCACAGGCTTTTTCTGCTTCTGAGACATTCCTGTGATTTTTATCCTTACTTCCACGTATGTGGTGCATTATGTTTATTTATTGGCATGGGTTGGACCATTCTTACATCCTTGAGACGAACCTGACTTGACGATGATGTATGTTCTTTTTATGATTTGTTGTGTTCCATTTGCAGGTACCTTGTAGTCAATTTCTGCATCTATTTTCATTAAGAAAATTGGCCTGTGGCTTGTTGTTGTTGTTGAATTATCATCTCATTTTGGTATCAGGATGATGTTAACTGTAAAGAATGAGTCTGCCAATGTTGTTTCCCTCTCCGTTTTCTGGAAGAATTTTAGGACTGTTGACATTAGTTCTTCAAGTTCTGGTAGAATTCATCATTCAGTCCTTCAGGCATTAGGCTTTCCTTAGTTGGTAGAGTTTTTATTACTGCCTCTATTTCATTGCCAGTTAATGTTCTATTCAAGGTTTTTATATCTTCTTGGTTCTATTTGTTTTAGATTCTCCAATTCACTAGAATATAAGTTTTCAAAATAGTTTCTTAAAATCCTCTGTATGCATTGTGTTTTCATTTCTAATTGCATTGATATCAGTCTTTTCTTTCTTCTGGTAAGTTTAGCCAAGGGTTTATCAATCTTGTTGTTTTTAAAAGGGATCAAATCTTTTAGTCATTGATTCTTTGATTAAAAACTACTGGACATAAGAAGACAGGGATACCAATATAATTATAGCAGCCCACTTTCTGAAATGGATTAGTCAAACACAAAAATTAAAAAAAAAGAAATATTAGAGATGAACAACATTGCTGAACAAATGAATTAACAAATATTACATAGTGTTTCATCCAACAACAGAGCTTGGAACT